TCGGCACGATTTAAATAATGTGCAACTATTTTTAACGTTATCGGATGTATCTCGCTAAAAATTTAACCTGGCCTTACTAATATTCAATTCTTCTAAGGCCGAATACCATTGTTTATTAAGCATTTTCTGAGGTTGATACTATCTGCAAATCTGAGTAGAGGTAATGATTTCAAAACCATGAGACACATAATATTTAAATTACTTGGCTGGAATGAAAATCTTATCCAAAATTTGAAGTAATGAACAGATTGTTAAAATAAACTGTATGTGCTATCCTCTGACTCCTGTATGGTCCAATATTCAAACATTTGAAGCTGCTTACCGATTTGAAATGTCTCATAAGGATTAACTTCGCTCGTGATCATAATCGATTCATTGTTTATTCAGCTTCATTTATTAAATTGAATTGAACTCGCCTACTGATAAACTTAACAAAATATTTTGAATCATCTTTAAAAGATGTATCCTTTCAACCCCTCTAGACACACATTTCAACAGTTACTTTAAGGAACCCTTGGGCTAAATTTTTTCTACTGATTAAAAAGTAACGATACGGCGAAAAAACTATTTCGTTACCGTTAGCTTTTATACAAACTTCAAACTTGTGAAACATGAGGCTTTATGTGATCTTATTAAGCAGTTATAGACGGTTAGAAAGCGGTGGCTCGAGCTATTGGGTGTTTGGCTCCATAGTTAACCACATTTAATTTCAATTTATTGATTTCCGTTTTTTTTTTTGCTTTTCATTAACGTTGATTTACAGTATATAAGTCTTACTTACAGCGTCAACATCCCCTCGTACGAAACCTCGATGCCAGCGAACACTCCTCGTGTTAAATGCTGTAACTGGTTGTTGGACAAGTTCCTGGAATAAATAAGTCATTTTAATGAAGCGTGAACTGTGCTGTCTGCGACGTGTGTTTTCCTAGCTACATCTTGAAAGCGCCCGATACTTTTTCGAAATAATAATGTTTGTATTTACCTCACACTAGTGGATAATTAGATCAAGTTACTCTACCCTCGAGAGATTCTGATGCAAAATAACATCGTTCAATTAATCTGCCAATATTTCAAGGCACACCACCTGGTTTTCTAAGCAGCGGTACAAATTTTAAAAGATGGCGAAAACTTTGATCAGATTAATCGCTTGTCGATGATTAAAACTCGAATATTGAAAGAAATGGAGGACTAATTTTAAATCACCTGTTGTTATATTCCTTTAATCTCGCTGGTGATAAGACTGAATAGTTTATTGAAACGCCAAGTGACCAGAGAGAATCTTTCAGTCGAAACGATGAGGAGTAACGTTGATATTAGCGCATGAATGTATTGTGAAATTCTTTCAGAACTCTCAGCAAAGATTTATTAACACACTAAATATTAAGTGAATTTTCATTTGAGCCACGAGCACTAATTTTCTAGTGAGTGACATCTATTCAAGAATAGCGGTTTTACTCTTTTTGTGATTTCTAGCTTAGAGCCACTTGCACATTATATTTACGGACTTTACAGTTCTTGCCGTGACACTACGGAAGTCAATAGAAGACGTTGATAATCTCCCAATCAATTCAGGATTGCACGCGATTAAAAAAAAAGTGTTTTCCTTTCAGAAATAGGTGATCGGCGCATCGTGAAACAGAGCAGATTTTTTTTCTGTGAAGAGAGAGCGTTTTACCGTTTAAATCAGATGCCCAGATCGGAAGACATAATCTTTCAGTTCTTGCCGTTTTCCTTGCAAAAATATCTCAAAAGATGTGATCTGCACATCATGAAAGCTTTGCAAAATTTTTTTCTTCATAAAAAGAGAGCATTATTCTGTTTGAATCAGCGGCTTATGCCGAAAGAGCCGCTAAATTTGCGATGCGAGGAACGGCGGAATATCTTAAGACACGGAATGACGGAATATTCTATATCGCGAAATGCCTTTTGGTATGAAACAAGTCTCAAAAAATGGAATTGCAATAAGATAAGAAAATGTGTTAAAACTTGTGCTATACCAGTAACCACATGCCGTCCTTCACTATTTATTTTTTAAAGGATGTCTTGAAATGTTGAATTTTTTAATTTGTGTCTTAGCTCTCGGGGGTCTTCGTTTTTGCTAAAACCGTTTCGTTTAAGCGTTTCATCAGCAGTGTTGCAGTGGTTGTATACCACAAGCGTTCTTTAAACGACCTCTCTCAACCAGAATGCACTGCTGTGAAGTGGCCATTCTCAACACTTTCTGTATAACAAAAAGGGAGGCCAACTTATATGTGATATTATTCGGCTAAATATATCTTTGCAATCTTGACCGAGAAACGGTTTTTTTTAACCTCATTTAGTTTATTTAAGTATCTGTCGTCTATTTGCTACGTTTTTTTTTTGTCCTTATCATTCCATGTTCGCGATAACGAAGCCATCGACGAGAGGTCGTCCTGTACGAAATGAAAGCCTTAAGGATTGGCAAGATAACAAGCTGAGAGTTTGCAGAGGCCATGCTATACAGCATTTCAGTGGAAATTTAATCAGAAAACTCCTCTCGGCACCTGCATTGGAAGGTCTCTGTCTCTTTGTAATTTTATGCACTTGCACGTCAAGGGTCGATTCCTGGTTAAATCTCTTGCCTTTGTACACTTTTGTGTCACAGGCGTTAGTTGCACTTGGAAAAAGTTTTCCGAGATGTGTTTTCTTAGTGGATAAAATCTGTCGTCGGGGGACATTTCTTAGTACTACCCTGACTTTTGCGATTAAAGAAAATCCTTTCCAATGAGCGAAAACATCAAAAGCACTGTAAAGTGCTTGGGTAGGGCAGGCAGATTTCGGAAAAAATCGAGTTAAATAAAAGAAATCACGGGGTGATTGTCAACGCTAGTCAGTCGTGAACTTTGTTAAAAGACAAAATTGGCACCTAGCAAGAATTTTCGTTTTCAAAACTGTGACGAAAAGCAAAATTTTTAGGAGTATAATGCAATCAATGGTATGAACGCAGCTTCCCACACTTGGGTTTTAAACGAATTTTTACGGAGCTACCAAGATTTCGCACACCGAGGGAAACAAAATCAAATTCTGAGTTTTAGGCACTGTAATCTTCCATGCGACTCTGAAAATGAAGACTGCCCAAATAACGATGCAAAGTTAAGCAAATTCCAAGCTTTGGAATTCACTTTTATACCATACGCTACCTAGCTTTCGGAGATGAAGCGTTTATTACATTGTAGCTATGAAGCAACTGGAATAATAACCAAAAAAAATGGAAATTTGCCGTTATTTCTTCCTCAGAAAGTTTGCGTGAACACAAAAAAAAAAAACAGAACAAAAAAAAAAAAAGGGAAACTTAGTTTTCTTTTTAATTCTCTTCACTGCTCTTGCAATGTCAGTTTTAGGGCCACACGAGACCATTCCTGACTTGCTTTTGCTTTTAGGAGAAGCAAACAACGTTCTCGTTCTGAACTTGGCCTTACCATTCAAGACTTTCACACTGCGACCAACCTGCAGAGTACACCGTTTGAAGGGAATATCATTCTTGCACCCCGAGGTCAGTTATATTACTGAGTGAAATTGGTTCAAGCAAGACTATCAAATAGAGATCAAATGTGATTGTTTGTGGAGGATACAATGAGTAACTGAGAACTTTTTTCTTCTGAAAAATGTCCTTATTCGTCAAAAAGTCTGATTTAACTTTAGCAGACTCGCTTAAATAATTTATATCACAGCTATCGTACTCTTCATACTTTGTGCTCTGTTCGATTACGGAATTTTTAACCTATGCAATCACTATAATATTAACAAATGGTTCATTTCCCATATTTTCAAATTTAAACAAAGCCGAAGGCCATTTTACCAGATCAAGTTCAAAATGGTTGTCTGAACAATGAAATTTTAGTTCTTCTGTCTCTAAATATGCTGCCCGAATTGGAGTGAAAATTTCCCGAAATTACCCAAGGACTATTATGTCTATGTGCACGCATAAAACGGTACGACAACACAAACTTGAACACGCGTACTTGTAATTATGAAATGGACTTACAATCTTGAACGAACGTTGTACGGTTTCGAAAACTAAAAGGAAACAAAGGAAATTTACAACTATAAATACGGAAAAAGGCTAGACAAACAAGAAACGAAACCAAAAAAAACTTACGTTTGTGTCCTTATAATATAAACGATGACGTTAAACGGGCGTTGAAACGATTCTCCACTTCGATCGAGCACATGTATTTTTTTAACTCGCAGCGCCTCTCGGGATCTAGCTAATGAGTGCGTGACATCACGCATAACGGCAGTAACATTCCCGACCCCTTAAGCGATGCTTAACATGGAAAGTTCTTAGCTACAAAATAAAGTAGTAATTATGAAAAATAACTTGTCATGTCCTTTGCTAAAGCTAACGAGTCTAGTCCGTCACACAATCCGCTTAAAGAAATAGGGACTATGAATATTCCATGAAGGTTCAGCCCTTACGAGCTTCCTGTTTCATTGTTCATTATCGAGGCACGATTGTTCTTCCTTAGCTAGCAAGAGGACAACCTTGTCAACTGGTCTGCGTAGTTGGGAGGTTTGGGTCTTCAAATGAACCGTGCGTACCAACCCCTTCTTGTCTGATTCCGCGCTTATGACTCGTCCCATCGGCCAAACACTCCTCGGGCAGTTGTCGTCTTTCAACAGGACAACGTCTCCGACAGCTAGATTCCGTTTGGGACTGTTCCACTTCGAACGAGGTTGGAGAGTTGGGAGATATTCTCTCTTCCAACGCGTCCAAAATAAGTTTGCCAAGTACTGCACTCTCCGCCAGCGCCGCCTCATATAGACATCTGCGCGTTGAAAAACTCCTGCTGGGGGAAGTACAACGCTGGTTTTCATCGTCAGGAGATTGCTGGGACTTAGTGGGTTGAGGTCATCGGGATCACTCGAAGCGAATGTTAGCGGTCTCGAGTTAATGATAGCTTCAACTTCACATAGTAGAGTTCTAAAGGATTCGTCATCCAGACGGGAGCCATGCTCATGGAGTAGAGTAGGTTACCATCATTTTCCAAATCGGCATAAACCCTTTCTCTGGCCTGGGCTTTCGCTATTTCAGTTTCCAGTTTCAAGGCTTCATCTGCTGCTCGTAGAGCTTGTTTGCGTTCTAGCATTTGTTTTTCAGCTTGTAATTCCGCTAGCTTAAGTTTCTCCTTTGCTCGTGCAGATGGCGTTGAGCTGGCTGAAGACTTCTTCGAACGGGTGCTAACACGGGACGATTTGGATGAAGCCGATTTTACTTCTGAGAGCAGATCAAGTTCTTCTGTTAAGCGACGTTCTGCTACATTCATCCATTCCATAACCTGTTTCCTAAATTCCAAAAATGACTTCTCCTTACTTTCATAGCGATCAAGTTCCCTGTCTTGATCCTGTTCGGAGGTCAACTGGCAATAATAAAGGTCACGTGCTTCTTGATACTCCTTGAATAATGTGTTCAATACAATAACCTCTGATTTCACTAAATGAAGATTGTTCTCATCTTCCATTAAGTTTGTGAGAGCATTCCTTTGCTTTGTCACAGCAGTCGTTTTGGCAGTTTGATCGTTTTTCAGTCGCCTTAATTTCTCTTCTTGACCCTTTTCAGTTAATTTCCTTACACGAGTATCGGGACAGCTTTCGTTCGGAGGAAACCCAGGCCCAGCGCCCTCAGCGACAGGTTCATCGTTCATGGTGGACTAGGCACTAATTAATCCTTCGGTAGTCGCTTCAAATTAGCGATGAGTGGCGAACAGTTCGCCCAACATTGCAAATAAACGTAGGATAAGTTCCAATAAACCAGTATGCGATGAGGGTGAAACTTTTCGAAACGAAATGTGCACGCATAAAACGGTACGACAACACAAACTTGAACACGCGTACTTGTAATTATGAAATGGACTTACAATCTTGAACGAACGTTGTACGGTTTCGAAAACTAAAAGGAAACAAAGGAAATTTACAACTATAAATACGGAAAAAGGCTAGACAAACAAGAAACGAAACCAAAAAAAACTTACGTTTGTGTCCTTATAATATAAACGATGACGTTAAACGGGCGTTGAAACGATTCTCCACTTCGATCGAGCACATGTATTTTTTTAACTCGCAGCGCCTCTCGGGATCTAGCTAATGAGTGCGTGACATCACGCATAACGGCAGTAACAGTCTACCTCACATGTAACACAGATGTCATCTTTTTCATCAATTTATCGTGCTGTGGTTCTTCCTACTTGACAGAAAATTCGTACACAAATTTATTCTTGGGTCATAATAACAAAAACAATGAATAGTAACTAAACAAGCGAACGCCAACGGAAAACGAACGAAAAAAAAAACACAACGTGTATGTTAATAACAGTCTTTCTTTTTATTTTCTTCTTTATCTCATTTCCTTGAATTCAATTTTGTTTTTAACCTTCGCAAAGAATTCTTATTTGAAGCTGAGGACAGTTCCATCTGAGGAGGAAAAATATTTTAAAAGACAAAATTGGCTTTTAGCAAAAATTTTCATCATAGGTGTTTTTTCACTTATTTGAACGTTGAAAATGAATGGAAATAATATATTAGCATAAGCCATTCAGTAAACATTGTCATAAGCCAATTGATCATTTCTTATTACTTTTGGCGGTCTTATCTTACAGGTAGAGTTTGGTTACCTTTTCCTTATCGTGATGGTGAATTTGACATGGAGACAAATGTTTTTGCGTAAACTGCGGTTTGCGGCTAGATATCAGTATATTTCCATTATGTTGCTAGAAGATGATTAATTACTAAGAAAATGACTCTACCTTAAAAAAATTGATCCCGTACAGGAGTTTCTTGGAAGTAACCCTTCCTTATGCTTTACGGCTTTAATATTCTCGTTTTTAGGTTAAATCCATGTCGAATTCCCGATCCGGAAAATAGTTTTTAAATTTTAATTCAGCACGTTCGACACCTCTTTTTCTTAGAGGTGACTTAGGCAGTGTTCACACTTGGTGCCCGGGCACTAGTACCCGGGCACCGGCACAAAATGGTGCTGTGTTCAGACACACGGTACCCAGTCTGAAGATATGTTCACATTCAATAAACAGAGCACACGCTCACTATTGAAATCTCGAGTGGGACAAGGAATTGTGGGTACGAAAACAAGTGGTTTGTGGGTAAAGTGCCAGGGCACCAACGAAAAATGTGTTCACACAAGGACTCAGTGCCCAGTTTAGTGCCAGAGTACAAGGTCGAGACCTTGTACTCGGGCACCGGCACCGTGCCCGAATTCTGGCGTGGGTACCAGGAAAAAAGGTGTGTTCACATTGGTGCCCGGCATAGAATAGAACCCAGGCACGGTGCCCGGGCACCAAGTGTGAACACTGCCTTAAAGTGTAAACATGTAGTACTTTTCATCTTCTGCACTGAATTTGTAATCAGATAACTTATACGACTGGCACGTAGCTCTTTTAGGGGCGGTACCTTGGGTGTGCCCTTTCTTCTCCGAATTTTGTGTTTATTCTGCTGTTATGTAACAGCCTTCAAGGAGGGTCTGAATGGGGTTAAGTGTTTAGTGTTATTTGCCTATATTTTTTAGTGTTTACTGTTAAATTGGCCATTTTTTTAATGTTTACTGTTCTTAAAAAAAATACCGTTTAGTGTTTGAAAGGAGACCCCAAAGTTTTTTTTAAGCATTTTCAAATTTATCTGCTCTTTTAAATTCTGCAAGAAAATCAAGAAAATCACTCGCGAACAGTGAGCCAAAGCTAAAATGCTCTTGTCCTTAGAACTGATAATGTGCCTTACTAGACCCTCAGTACTAGATGTACTTAAGGGGATACGTTTGGTGATCCACACAATAGTTCCTGAAAAGTATCGCTTCTGGAAATCCAACCAAAGTAGTGTTTGCAAAAGACCAATTGCACTTAAAATTGGGCTACAAGGCAAAGTACTGGCGTTAGACTACGATTTCGACTCTCAATAGTCTCGTAGAACTGCATTTACACCGACCAGTCGAAGTAAATGTTCGGAGGGAAGTATTCAAGGATGCGCAGGACCTATGTTTTACCAATGGTGTAGTCTTCGTTGCAGAGAGAGGCTCATCAACAATCCGTTTCATTGAATTGAAAGGCGAAGTACTTTTCAAACCCGGACGCCTAAAATCGCGAGCTGATTTGCTTTCGCAGCTTAGTCGTTTCAGATTGTCACTTGAGGGTACAGGTCCAGTTCTACAGAAGCGGTTGACGACACAGCTGAGATCTTTAGCTGCACAAGTCGAGAATAAACAAATTATCCAGATTAACCCACCTTTAAATAAACCAACTTCCATCTGTGCGGCAAGTAAGGATATCCTCTTGTGTGCAGATGATGAGCAGAGAAGCATAATGCAGCTGGAGTTAGAGTACAATGGAGTGGCTATCATCAGTAGTAGGCTGAGACAGATAAACTACTCCAATAACGTGACAAGTATTGAATCTCTTTATGTTCTGCGGCAATCAGCATACTTGGCAGCAACTGGCGCAGCTGGAGGGTTATGTGGTTGTAATCTCGATTCTGTCAATGTTGAGCGACTCTTGCGGAATTCCTCAGATTCTTGTAAGGAAGTCAAGAGGCTGTATGGTTATGAGGGCAACATTGTTTTCACCGACAACAAAGATCAAAAGGTTAAGACCTTTAATCCCTTACGTGCAACAGTCGAGACCTTGTTGGATACTGGCCATGAAGGAACCGTTGATGGAATTGAAGAAAGCTGCTCATTTACACAAGTTCATACAATCTGTTCCTTGTAGAAAATTTTTTTGTTTCTGATATAGCTGCTGAAACAATCAAACTAGTTTCGGGGTTTACTGGCAAAGTGTCCTTTCTTCGCAACCTCGAATGTCTCTATGATAGTTTTGGAATTGGGTGCACATACGATCGCCGCGGTCCAATTATCTCTTCAAGATGCTGTGTGCAATGTTTCATCTGTAAATGCTTACATTAAAAACACAGTCGCTGAAGTAAGGCAGCACTATAAAATGAAAGAAACAGCAACAATAAATGGCCCTGAAGGAACTGTTTCCAGAAAAACACAGGAGTCATTGGTGCTTCTCGAAAGAGGTATGGAACAGCTACGAGATAACGTTAAGAATGTAAACGAGGACTATCATGGTGACATTGACCTGCGTACGCTGCTAACAACTCAGGTGGAGAACCTTCGTGCAATCTCCCACTTCAAAAACGAGACTTTCACCGTTCTTCAGTATGCTCAAGACTTTGGAACAATTTCAAAGGAATCTTTAAAGAGAACAACGAAGCGGGATGCGAAGTACTTCACACTTGAGAAGTCTTATTATCCAGTGCCTAAATCCAGAGTGGAGTTACAGGACGTAAATGTGATGAAACCTCCTTCAGCTGATAACGTTGACCCCAACATTGAGGCAGCCATGAAGTAATTGGTTGACAGGTATCGACCTGTCAAGGACGGTAAGAAGCGAATCAACAAAAGACAAAGCAGGAGCCCTGCCGCCAGCTGTATATCCCAGTACGCCATCGTGTACTAGAGTAACATTCCAAGAGGATGTTTAAGATGATCCAGGGACAGACAATGAAGAACGAGTCGACCAGGATAAAAATATTCCACGAACTACAAACGAAGTAGTGACGTGACATACCTCCCCGAGCAAGAGGATGAATTCGACACCGACTCGGAGAGCGATGCGGACAATGATACAGACATAACGTTCAGCAGATTTGGTCGCGTCGCCCGCACTCCTTGATCTCTGGAAACAATTGGGACTATCAGGACAATCAGGACTATTCAGGTATGGAATATAATCAAATGTTTTTGGCCAGGATGGAGTGACATGCCTGTCATTTTTGTTGACCATTATACATTCTGACTAATATAGCCGATCTTATTGGTAAAAGAAATATTCTGTTATTGCATTCATTACTAGTCAAATTTAAACACTCATTTATGTTAAATTTCATTTTGGTGTATCCTCGCTGTAAAAGCGCTTTAAGAATAGAACTGTTATGAGTTATACAAGCCAAAACTGCGGTAGTCTTCAAATATCGTCGGTCATAAGTTTGTGGACATCTTTGGCAGTCTCAGCGGACATCTTCGGTAGTCTTTGGACATCTTCGGCAGTGTTCGGACATCTTCGGCAGCCTTCAGACATCTTCGATAGCTTTCGGACATCTTTGACAGCTTTCGGATATCTTCCTCACTCTTAGGAAGTCTTGAAATAATCCCGAATTGTTAGAAAATGGCCAAAAAAACCTCTTTGATACAATAAACATAGGCTCAACATAGATATTTCTCCTTTTAGGGCGTAGTTTGTTTGTTTATGAGAAAAAAAATAATGTTACAACGAATTTTTTAATGTTAGTGTTTAAATGGCTAAAAATTAACTGTTTAATGTTATATAGCCAAAAAAATAAGTGTTTAGTGTTATCGAAGTACCTCCATTCAGACCCTCTTCAAGAACTATTTTCTCTTAAGACATCTTTTCAAGTATGATTTTAACTCTGTCAGTAAGTTTATTATAAATTTTATATTGTCAATCTTGTTTTTGTTTTGCACGAACTTGACCGTAAAACCAAGAAATTTAAGTAAGAAAGACATTTTGTAAAGTGTAAACATCGCGAAGGTATCTACTTAGTATGCGAACTCCGTTCTGCGTAGTTTAGCGTGATTCGCTAGCTAAGTGTAAAAGCATGACGAAGGTTAGAGACTGAC